AAAATATCGGCATATCGGATATCGGCCAAAATCCCAATATCGTGCATCACTACATGAAATCTACCCATCAGCAACATAAGGTTTATTATGAAACATGTTGATCTGTCATTACAAAAAATTTTGATAAATAAAATAACATAAAAAAGTAGACCTTTCCAAGTGGCTTTTGTTGAAACATATACATAGCATTTTTGATTTGATCAATTTTTAATTTCTAAACAGTGCCCAACTGGAGCCCACCCATTGCCCATGCTTGGTTTAGCCCATTCACTCCCCATGGGTTGCCCAAATGGGTCCAGAGCCCCTGCCCAGCTGAAGCCCACCCAGCCCAAGTGAGGCCCATATGGGCCCCACCTGGATGTGTTTGCTGGGGCACTAGCGTCTTTGTGATTGTTTAGCTGCAGTTAGCAATTGGTCAGCTGTTAATTTCCACTGTTAAGCTGATGATACTCAGCTATATCTGTCTACAAACTGGCTGGATGTGCTCTCCTTATCCTCTGACATGGAGGCTGGCTCGGAGCTCATCTGCCTGGCTGTGTTTCCTGGGGTGGCCCTTTTTCTCTTCTTCTTTCTGAATGTCTACTTTTGTGTCCTTAAACCACAGTCAGCCTCGCACATGGCCGCTCACACTGAGTCTGGTTCTGCTGGAGGTTTCTTCCTGTTAAAAGGGAGTTTTTCCTCTCCACTGTCGCCAAAAGCATGCTTAGTGTGAGGGATTGCCTTTGAGTCATTGAGTCGATGCAATCAACTGGTTTTCCCAAGATAGAAAACTTTGAATCAATTTGACCGTATGATCTTGTTGAATTCTTAATTGCCTTGAGATGACATGTATTAAAAATAAATACTGTTTCCCCCCCTCTTGTCCTCACCTTTTGAACCAGTTTACCAAGCCTCCATATTCTCCAAGCTCCATCTGTGCAATGCTTATCACCTGCTTCGTATCAGAGAGGGGGATGAATGGCAGACGGCGTTCAAAACCCATATTGGCCATAGAAATATCTTTAGGACTCTGCAATGCCCCTGCCACTTTTCAGAACCTGGTGAGCGATATCCTTCATGATTTTCTGAATGTTTTTGTTTACATCAATGACACTTTATTCTTCTCCAATAGCCTGGATGAACCTTGGCTACATGTCAGACTGATTTTCCAAAGACTTTTTGAGAACCGTCTGTTTGTCAAGGCTGAAAAGTGTGTGTTCCGTGTCTCATCTATCCCTTTCCTGGGTTATGTCTTTGAGGGTGGACATGTGAAGATGGACCCTGCTAAGACAAAGGCTGTTTAGGAGTGGCCAGTCCCAAACACCAGGAAGCAACTTCAATGTTTACTGGGGTTCACTAACTTCTACCGACATTTTATACAGAACTTCAGTATTGTCGCTGCTCCCCTCACTGCTCTGTCCTCCATCAAAAGACACTTCCAATGGACGCCTGAAGCTGCCTCCGCTTTCAAAGAACTCAAGCAGAGGTTTGTTGAAGCACCCATTCTGATCCACCCTGATTCCTCTGCTCAGTTCTCTGTGGAAGATGATGTGTCTAATATTGCCGTGGGGGCATTCATTTCACAGTGGTCCCCAAAAGATAACAAGCATCATCCCAGTGCCTTCTTTTCTACAATGTTTACTACTGCCGAGGTGAACTACGACACTGCAGACAGAGAACTTTTGGCCATAAAGCTTGCTCTCGAGTAGTGGAGGCACTGGCTAGAAGGGACTGAACTCCCAGTAATCATTTGGACAGACCATAAGAACCTGGCATATCTTCAGTCCGCAAAGCACCTAAACCCACGACAGTATCGTTGGTCCCTTTTCTTGTCCCGTTTCAATCTTAATATCACCTATCGTCCAGTCTCCAAGCACAACAAAACCAGATGCTCTCTCCAGACTTCACTATCCTGATGACCCCCCCAGAGTCTTCTGAACCCATTCTTCCAGTCACATGTACCATTGGTTCCCTCACATGAGATCTGGAAGGGGCTATCCAAGAGGCAGAGATCTCTGAACCAGACCCAGGCGGAGGTCATCCTAACTGTCAGTATGTTTCCATCTAACAAGAGTAGATGGCACCATCCATTGGGCACACTCATCACGATTCTCCTGCCATCCTGGAGTAAGTCGCACTATTGGTCTACTTCGTCAATATTTCTGGTGGCCATCCTTGATTAAGGGTGTTATTGAATATGCCTCTGCTTGTTCAATCTATGCTAGAAACAAGACATCCCATTGTCCACCCTGTGGTCTCCTGCAACCGTTGTCCATCCATAGTCGGCCCTGGTCCCACATCTCCCTTAATTTCATCACTGGTCTTCCCACATCCAAACATAAAAAGGTTATTCTCAGCATCATTGATAATTTTTCTAAGGTTTGTCATCTAGTTGCTCTCTCCAAGCTCCCCTCATCATTAGAAACAGCTAGGCTTCTCTTCTGTCACGTCTTCCGCCTTCATGGAATCCCAACAGAAATTGTCTCTGACAGAGGAGCCTAATTCATCTCCCAGGTCTTGTGAAACTTCTGTTTAGCTCTTGGTGCCCGTCCTTGCCTGTCTTCTGGTTTTCATCCACAATCTCTTGGAAAGTGTAAACACCTCAAACAAGAACTGCAAAATATCCTTCGGTGTGTTTGTGCTTCCAACCCCACCTCATGGAGCACACTTACCCTGGGTAGAATTTGCCCATAACACTCATATATCATCACCCCCTTTCTCCTTTTCAGACTTCCCAAGGTTTCCAACCCTCACTTCTACCGAACACTTTCCAAGATAAGATCATCCCTTCTGTCAAACACCATATGAGGAACTGCCAAAGAAACTGGAATCAGACTAAGGCCAAATTTGTATGTCCAAAATAAGTGTCTCACTGATCGCAAGAGCTGTTACTCCTTGATGGTAATCAGTGTTGGCCTTTATTTTGGAGCAGTTTCCGGGAGCAAGCTGCCAATTGGTTTCGCTCTCTCAGTGGTAAAACAGGTCAAGCTCTATTAGCGATCTAAGCACCCTGAGCCTCCTCTTTACCTCTCCTTGCTCTTGTCCTCCACAGAACCAGACCAGATGCTTACCAGTATCAGGTCTGTTTCCTTCATGTCCTCGCTGCTCTGGCACTGTCTCCTCTCCCGTGACTCCTTACAGAACCAATCAGCCTGACTGTCCACCCTCCGCAGTTATCACTTGCTTAAGAGTCTGGTTAAGAATCATGTCATTTTCTCCTTATAAGTTTGTCTAAATTTCTTTCAATGCAACTGAAAAATCAGAACAATTGTCAATGTATCTGGAAATACGTTGAGAGATCACTGGATTCAGAGTGTGCAATAGGGTTAGCATTCATTAACTTGTATAATCTCTGACAGCAGCTTGGTCTAACCTGATAATGTGGGGTCTATCTATGTCTATGCTCTCATCCACACATCTCCATACACGTCAATGCAATCACATTAAATGCATTGTGATTATTGGCCATTAATCATCGATGGATTTAACGAAACCTTATGGTTTGAATGTGACTAAAGCTATTCTTACAAATGTTTGGTGTATATCATATATGCTGCTAATCTTTTCTTTTTTTATGCTAATAATGGCGCCGAAAAACTAATGGACATTTTCTTAAGGTATCACTACAGCTTATCAAGTGATTGAATGTTATGAAAGACTCTACTTCAAGGACTCATTGATTCCCTTACAATTTTCCTTTGATGTATCCTGTGTTTATTTTTGTAGTTTGTAGTGTCTACGTAATTTATTAAACATAATAATGCTATGATAGGCATTATTAAACTCTACCATAACAGCCAGTAAACATCTTAGA